TACCTCACAAATCAGAATGCATTTCCCACTGACAGAAACAACTAGGACCAGGCTGTTTCTAAATGGCTTTTAGAGTTAAATTCTTCACCCCAATCAAATCAAATGCTTGTGCACTTCCTGGGATGGGAAAATCATTCCCAGCTCCAGGCCACTAACCTTGACTAGCGGTTAATTGTCCCCTGCTGCCTTGGAGAACACTGCATCCCGCTGGGAACCCAGCCCAGCTCCAAGGGATTTGGTGCTGCAGCAGACTGGAAATCTACCTAGGGACTGTTTACTGCAAAATTTTGTGCTTTGAGAAACGGGTGCCAAAGCAACACCTGCTCTTCTGTACCGGTGTCGCAGCTGCCTGACCGCCCTCGGCATGGGGCTGCCCCGTCGCTCGCAGCCCTGTCGCTCCACAGGCCGCTCCGGAGCGCCCGGCCCCGCGCCTGGGCGGGATGAAGGCTCCCGGCCCTGACGCCCAGGCCAAGCTGTGCAGGCACCGGCCAGGAGCTGGGCACGTGCGACGGGACCAGCCTGCTGCTCCTATGGGTTCCCATCACCATGGTTTTATTTTGTCCCCCACAGCAGAAGTGCTGTCCCAGGGCCCACTAGGCACAGCTCCAAGCACAGCTGCTTTCCCAGGCCAAATGCTTCAGCTGACCAGAACAGGTTTGCAAACAGAGGACTGGAGCTTTGGGGTGAACCTTGTCCCAAAAGAGGGCATTTTGGTGGCAGCTTTACTATATGTTTTCTCCTTCCTCAATTCACGACCTGTTCTGCTGGCAGCCCAAGATCTGAGCTAGAACCTGACACGTCACAGGGACTTGCATTAGAGGGAGCTGGGATTGCTCCCAAATCCAGCACCCGAACAGGCACGGAGCAAGGGAAGGTGTCAGGAACAGCCACCAGCCGGGAGCAACGGCCAGACAGGGCAGTGCCCCGAGGGCCACGTCCTCCCGGTTAGCAGTGGCGAAGATGCTGTGCAGCCGCCGCCTGCTCCCCTCTCCCATAACCTTCTCCCAGCCCCAGGCTGCTCCCTCATCTAGGGCACAGGAGCATTTGGAAGACCAGGGCCACAAGTTTAATTTCAGCTTTAACACTGAAACATCTGCCTCCTCCAATAGCAATAAATGAAGGGGAAAAAAAGCCATAATCAATAAAGCATTTGCTCTGAGTTGATTCTCGCACAGAATTTCTTTTCTCTGGATTTATAAAATTACCTGTTGACAGATTCAATTTTACTGTTCGAAAAAGCACTTTCAGACCCAAATTGCTCTGCCTCGGAAGGATTCAGCACACAGCTGTATGAGTGCTGGAAATGTTTCATCCGTGCCAACAGCTATTTCCATGACATTACAGCTAACACACAAAAACCCGTCACTTAAGGAGGCGCCCAGGCGCCGTGTCCTCCTGCGCAGCAGGGAAGCCCCGCTGGCTCCTGCCTGGACATCACGCAAAGGCTTGAGCAAAAGCCCCCAGGACTCACAGCCAACCGCCAACCCGCTCCCGCGGTCACAGCTCGAGGGCAGCTGGATCCATCGGAGCTGCCTCAACGTCAACCACCTTGCAGGGCCCCAGGGAGCGGGGGCTCCCACGACACATTCCTGCACATGATGAACAGCCCCAACACGGCACTGTCAGAGCAGGCTACCCGGCAAGGGCCATGGGGGTTGTGCCTCTTCACGCTGCAAAGGCCAGTACAATTTAAAGGAAAGAAATGCTTCCTTTTGTCTCCTGCATCTCTTATCCTTCATGCTCAAGTAGTCACCACTAGCTTCTGAAAAACACCAAAGTCACACAATTGCTATCAGAGACAACAAGTTTTTCCCTTTTATTTTTTTTGCAATAAATATATCTGCTTGGGAATAGAGAATTGCCTGGAGGCAGAGAGACATTTACACTAACTCCTCTTCTTTGCCTGCATTTTCTTTCTTCTGGCACGAAAGCCTTGAGGAATAACCAGCCCCCCTGGCAATCAGCACATCAGAGCAACTATTCAGCTGCTGAAATGGTGCTTCTCAAAGAATTAGCAGCCGCCCTTCATCCTCCTCTCAGCTCAGCAGCACCTCAGAGTTGTTGCTGGCTGCTGGTTTCCAAAGAGCTTCTAACAGAAGGAGCTGTTGATCCCAGAAGGACATCAGTGACAATTTACAGCACTAATGCCCCTGGCTCTTGTGGAAGTGGGGAGGACTTAAGCCTGGAGAGATCACAGAAATTAAAGTGCTCTAAAGCACGAGGGGAGCACCACAAACAGCCCGGATCTTTCCAGAATGAAGGCAGAGGCCCTTGGGAGGGTTGTGCTGGGGACTGGGACTTGCTGCTGCTCTGCCCACCCTGACCCAAGAACATTTCCCCGCAGTCTGCACCAGTGCAAGCCCCTCGTTCCACACAACTGGCCTCACCGCTGGCCGCTGGGCGCCAGCTCTGCCCACCTACAGCAGCCCCCGGGCCCTGCTGCACTTGTGGCCAAGGGCAAGTCTGGTGGGACAGCGCTGGTGGATGCGGCCACCTCTCAATGTGCCCCAGAACCTGGAAATGGAGAACCTCCCTCTAAACACTGGTAATACAGAGCCTAAGATGCAGCATTACCCACAGGAAAAAACCAACAAAACAAACAAATAAAAGCACCAAAACCCCACAGCTCTACAAGGGGAAGCCGATAGAGCAGCATGGCAAAACCCAGCTCAAGCAAGCCTGGTTCTCATTTGGCTGGGGAGAGCATCAGGACCTGCAGCACACCCTGTCCACCCATGAGTGCACAGGCCCCAGCAGGTCCCTCTTCCCTCTGTGCGTTTTAATTCTCACAGATCTTCTTGTACCCTTGCATTAGATGCCCTTCTTACTAGGTAACATCTACACTGAGTGGCTGACCCAAATCTCAGCCTTGACTGTTGGCTTGTCTGTGTAGTCTGACACAAGCTTGGTGCAATCTAGTTTTTGTCAAGAAAAAAAATAAATAAGTAAATAAAAGGGAAGACAAAGCCTGTGGAGAACTGACAGTCCACAAGCAACTTCCCAAAACCCCCGAAGGACTTCTCCCATAGAGGACTGCAAAGAAATGCCTGTGTCCATCCACACAGGAATGTGCTACAGCTCCAGGGCCAAGGCTGGGGCTCTGCGCTGGGAGTCCAGGCTGGAGCAGAGCCACACGAGGAGGCCGGAGCCCTTCCAGAGGGAGGCTGCTTCCAGAGGGAGGCTGCCTGCGCTGCTGCCTGCACACAACCCGCGCCTCGGGGCACCCACGCACAGCCCCGCGCAGGGCCCTCCTCGGACAGGCCCGCGGCACTGGGCTCCACGTCAGGCCGTTTTGGTAACGAACGCTTCTGCCTCCAGGTGAGCAAACTCGTTAAACTGCTGCACAACAGCACAGGGAACATCCTGTGCAGAACAGCTGTGCCGCAGGGAAAGGGAGCTAGATGGGGATATATCTCTATTCCCTGATGATGTAGGATGCCTCCAGCAACCTTGCATTTGACCTTGCAAAGCTGGAAACACCACCTGAACTACAGCGGCATCACAGATTTACTGACCTGTAAGAAAGCATTGATAAACCTGCTAGTTTACATTGCTTCTGGCTAGGGCTAAAGTCTGAGCTCTCACCACGGCGCTTTTGCAAATGGTGCTTTCATACACAGTGTCTGTTCGAAAGCTTTTTGCATCTGTATTCCAGGACATTGAGATTGATTAGAAATAGGAAGGAGAGAGGAAAGAGCCTAATCCCCAGCCCTTCTCTTGGAATGCAAAGCCATCTCCCTGAGGCAGCATCTGTCAGTTCTGGTTACTTGGGCTTAGTTAACCATCGATATGTTGCATTTATTTGCATGGTATTTGTGAACAGAAAAAAAATGTATAACAGATGTATATGTGTGTATATACATATATACACACACGCATGTAAATCTAAAGGCAATGCTCGCAGTGTTTTGGGGCCTGTTCTCACCTCTCCATGTGCACAACAAACCAGGGCAAAGCGACTCGGCTACGTCACCCTCCGAAGCGCGTGGCAAGACAAACAACACTTGCAGTCACACTAAAATTTCACAGTCACCCCTACAAAATCCCTAGGACATGGCAAGCTCTCCCTAACTCCTCGATAGGTTTGTTGATCCCTGTGGGGCTTGCTTTCGGGACCAGATGGCCAAGCAAGGCACTTTTGGATAAAGTGTGTCTGCGTGGCCTTGATCAGCTAAAAGCTGGGGCTTGCAGCAGGTTGCTGCTGCTGGGTGCACAGGGACTCAGCAGCTCAAGTGCTTGCAGTGCGTGTGCCAAAGCTTGCCCGCTGGCTCAAGCGGGCTGGCGCGTGCGGAGGAGCTGCTTTTGGAGGGGTCACAGAGCAGAGCAAGCTTAGGTGCCAGCAGCACTAAGAACCATCGCTCGAAGCACTTGGGAGCCTCTGAGCACGCAGGCTGGGGAGAAGAGGCAGCGTGTCCACATTGGCAAGGACGGGGGCCCTCTCCGAGGGCAAGGAGAGGGTCTCTGGGCAGTGCCAAGAGCCGCTCTGCAGCGCAGCGGGGGACACGCGGCTCATCTGGTAGGAGAGAGTAAGTCTGGAAGAGCAGAGGGAAGGCAGGAGCCACCAGCAGAGCTGCGCGGGCATCCCGGGAATGGAGCGGCACACGGCTAACAGCTTCCATTAAGAGCATGGTACACAGCCACCATGGCCACAGGGCGGGAGGGGACAGCAGGCAACGACGGCGCTCACTTGCCACGCAGAAGTCGTGCCAGGGAAAGGTTGAATACTCACATGATGCCAACGCTGCCCTCCACAGCAGATCTTGGCACGTGCATTTCTTTACGCTTCAAACTTTTCCTGCAGGCATAAGGGACTTTTCCCAGATTAACAGGCCCTTAACCCTCAGCTCTGGGATCAAAGCATAATCCTCTGTTGTAAGTCCAAGGGTTGCTTCTTTGCCCAGCCATGGGAAGGGGGCACTGGGAATGGAAGAACGAACTTTGGGAAGTGCCAGGCGGGGAGTGAAGCCCCTCACTGCCCAGCTGAGCAGAATTGCTCCTGAAACCAGCAGGACTGGAGCTGGCAGCAGCATCAAAGTCCAGGCATTGCACTCAGAGCTGGCAGATGCCCCCAGCGCCTCTGCAAAGGGAGGCATCACTGCAGGGGGCCCCGAGCAGCCCAGACTGGCCCGAGGGCAGCCCCTCTGCCACCACCTCCTGCGCGCTTGGCACTGCCAGGGCGAGGAGCAGCCGGGGCCCTCGGTGCCGGCAGCCTGCGCCGCGCGGGGCTGCGAGCCGCTCCTAGAGCCGGGCAGAGCATCAGCACCGCACGCAGCAGGTTGGAGCTGGGGCCTCCGGCACCTCCGGAGTGAGGGGGGCAGCAGCGGCCAAGCCTTGCACGGATGTTCTTTGAAGTCTACAACAGCCTTCATTCAGCTTGGATTCATTCCCTTCCCAAGCAAATTAAACTACACTAATTGAGGTAGCTTAAATTCTGGACGAGCATGCCCACGTCCACATTGTGCTTTACTTGCCAAGTTTACTTGAATCATTTTCCTGCATATCCCCTGGGAGACAGCCCTGGGGAGCTGAGGGAGCAGGAGCAGCACAGAGGAAGGTGCTCTGGCTGATGATGACTGGCCCACACAGTAGCCAAGCTAGCCAGGGATGGCCGCAGCACCTGTAATCACATCTCCCCAGGGAACGAGGGGAAGGGCATGTCTGGCTATAGCACCCAGAGGGGACTCAGCACGGGGCTGCACATGACTGGAAGCTGCTAATCATTTCCCAAAAGGAACAAGGGAAATGACGTGCAGAGAAACACCTCCTACCTGGAGCTTCAGAGAGTCCCCGCCAGCTCTGCAGGGGCTGCATCAAGGTGACACGGAGCAGCGGGGGCAGGGGACACAGGCAAGCCAGCGGCAGCTGCTTTTCTCTTCTTCTTAAAGTAGAAATAACAGGCCCTTCTCCCTTGTGGCCAACATGAATATTTCATCAGCAAACTGCCTTATGTTGCAATGGATTTTCCCTCTCTGGCTGAGGTAGGAGAACCCAGCTTACAGATCCCTCCACAGCCTTAGCAGGTGGCCCAAGGGCATTTTGGGCACAAAACCAAAGTGCTGGGGGCAGCCAGAGAGATCTGAGGATAACAGATCAGAAAGGTGTCAAAGCTCCAGGCAACTCAGCACCATGGGAAGCCCATGCCCAGCTCTCATATGTCAGTACTTGAATATCCCCTGAACACTGGTGAGGCAACACCCTACCCCGCTTCCACAGGACAAACAGTCTCCCTATCTGTTACTGCTGACAGAGAGGAGTGTCTGCCCCTCCTGCCCATGTCTCACCACAAGGCAGAACAGCAATCCTGTTCCTCAGCAGCTACAACAAATCTTTTTTTTTTTTTTCTCCTGGGGATAAGAAGCCTGAAGGAGAAGAAACACTAAATCCCTAGAACCAGATAACGTAGCTTGAACCTGTCCTCTGCTGACTCACTTATAACATGGCCTGTTTCAGAGGAGGGTAGATTTACAGCAAGAGGACTGCAAATTAAGTGTTAAAAGCCTTAAGAGCTGTTTTGAGTTTGACTGGTGTTTCCAATAGCACCTTCACTGCCAGACATGCCTCCATCTCGATGATCTCTTGTCTCCAGCTCAGGGAGGAGATGGACTCCTGTCCTGTCATTCCCTAGGAGTCACTGCTAAGGTTCTTGCACACTCATCTTCTACTTACACTAAACAGGAATGAACTGACTCATCCTGCATCTCGGGCATCCTCCATGGAGATGGAGCCAGAGAGAGAGACCCTGGGAGAAAACTGAGGTGTTGGAGAGCCATAAGGACGAAGCAGGATGAATCAAGGAGGCTGGAAGACTCTCCACTGTCATGTGTTTTGAGCAATCACTGCACTAACACAGAGCAAGGCTAACGTTGCTCACGGCTTGGGCAGTGCTGGGCTCTGCCCAGAGCGCAGCGTATCACGAAGGAGGAGCAGCCTCCTGAGGGAGAGGTATGGGGAGCGAAGAGGACAGGCCCTTACCTGGCTACCAGGCAACGCAGGCCCACAGTTGTGCCCTCCACTCACCTTTTTCTCATCTCCCTCTTGCAGGAGCTGGAGGTGGCTCCTCTTCTCACTGTCCTTGCGGAGGGAGCTGTTCTGGTGGTGCAGCAGGCCCAGTGGTGGGGACACACTCCGGCCCTGGGGGTCCACCCATGTGTAGATGTGGTTGGTGACATATCCCCCAGGGATGCGGCCCACCGAATGCACCGACAGGTTCAGCTTCTTGCAGCCTTTCAGCACCTGCAGGACAAGGCAAGGAGAGAAGGGAGTTAACGCTGGAGGAGGACGGAGGCCAGTTCTGCCTTAGGACTCCAGGGCAATGTCCTTCCTTGGGGCTAGAAGATCTCGGGCTGCTCAGCAAACACCTCCGGAACAAGCGGGCTACACAAAGCGAGGGAAAGATGTGAAATTTCTCTCTCTTCTAAACAGAAAGAGCACAAGGGGAAGTGGCAGGCACTAACACAAAACCTACCCTCTCCCCATCAGCCAGGGAAGGAGAAGAGCAACCCAGACTAGGCGGGTGACAAGGTGGCCAAGGGACACTCCAGTGTGAACGGCCTCTCCTGATGGAGCAGGGATGGGGATGGATGCCGGGGCTCCCCATGGCTCGGCCCTGGCCATTGGCAAGGCAGGTGACAACGCTCGCAGAAATACAGCTCCCACTGACATGTCACTGCACGTGCAGCCTCTTCAGCACAAGGAGTCAGTTAACGAGCACAGTAATTAACAAAAATATGCATATATTTAAAAATCCATGCACCAAGATGACCTTGAGACGGAGAAGCATTGGCAATTACTCTTCAGCCTCTCTAGCATGCACTGAGAGAAGCTGACATAGGTCATACACATAGTAAAATTAAATTAACTTTAAAGTATTCTCCCTGGGGACAGCTCCACATGCTGATCCTGTTTCAGGCCTCAGGAACATCAGTTCTTGGATGTGCCCTCAAAGAGAGACAGTTTTGGATTTTTTATACACGTCCTTTTGATGAGCTGCTCCTGCAAGGTCTCCTCTCCTCACTGAGCAGAGCGGCTGCAGATTTGTCACTTCCTACCAAGGTCATTTGGCCTGGAGAGCTTAGGTGAAGGCTGTGAAACCAACAGCCGCATCAGGAGAAGGGGAAAGACTTTTAATCTCCTGGGCTGCTCTCCACCTTCGCTCCTCAGGCCCCTCAGCGTACGGACGAGGCTTCTCGCCCATCCTATAGTGCCAGTGCGGAGCACACCCTACGAGCTGGTACACAACATGCCGCAGAAACAACTCCTTTCTCCATTCATCCACACAGGAGCCATCTCTATGAAATGCTCTTTTACACCTCTGTTTACTTCTCCAGGCACCAGGGCAGGCAAACAGCCCTGTCACATCTCTAGCTAGGGCTGCAGCTCCAAGAGCACAAGCCAGTAAGGAGGGAACCAGTGATCTGACCAAACCCACCGGGTTTCCGAGCCACATCCTTGGGGGTGCTGCGTCCAGCCCTCCCTCAGCTGTGGACGCGTGGGGCCACCCTCTCTGCCGCTTGCTCTCCCACCCTTTTTCCACCCCAAACGAAGGGGCAGATTCCCTGAAAAATGTGTACATCCATCCTGGGCACTCCTCACATGCTCCTACGGAGCCTCCAAGCCAGTGGCTGAGTATTGGTGTAATTTAAGGAGCAAGGAAAACCCTGAGAGCGGAGGCTGGGACGAGAGCGCACACAGGGCCCTGCCCAGCTGCTCCCCGCGCCCACCGCCATCACCTAGAGGGTCTCCTCGGGACCTTGGGAGCGGCGTCGGGACTCCCGGTCATCCCTCCTCGGAGCATCCTGGTCAGCGAAGGGGAAGAGCTGCAGAGAGACATTGGGGCTCTTATCACCTCAGGGAGACCCGATGCCGAGCGAGCCCTCACAGGGCTCCAGCAGGAACAGCCCGAGGCCTCTCAAGAGGCAAAGGGAAGTTTCCAGCGATAAGAACCCAGAGTTTTACAGAGGACTTTTTATGCCCCCCCCCCTTTCTCCCCTGAGCGGGGCGCGCGCCTCCTCACTCCCCTCGCCGGGAGCGCTGGCCGGGCACTGCTTTGTGGAGCCTTTTATGCCTCTTTTCCCGAGGCATCGCAGGGACTCGCTAAGTGAAGCAGTCTGCTGCTCCGCACTGCATTTCTCCAGGATCATCCCCAACACATCCCCAACCTCTAAACGAGGGCATAGCGTAGGCCCAGTGTGGCCCCTTCCCTCAGGACACAGCTCCCCCATCTCCCCTGCATTGCCAAGAAGGGAAACAGACCATCAGGAGCCCGAACTCCAGAGCATCAACAGAAGGGTGACAAAACACAGCCGCACTGCCCCAGCTGACTGCCTCGCAGGCGCTGCTGCGGCTGGGGCAGGGGACAGAGCCACGGGGCCCACGGGAACAGGGCCCCGGGCTGCGCAGCACCACCACGGACGGCTGCTCGAGCTCCCCATGGCTGCGCTGCGCGGGCAGGATCTGCCTGATGGCCCAGTGCACCCGAAACCTCTGCTGCTCCATCCACGAGACCGCGGGCCAGAAGGAACGGCTGCTGTCTCTGCAGACAGAAGCTGTGGAGCAAAGCAGACGTCAGAGCAGACTTTCCATGCTACTGTCCAGAGAAACGGAGCCAAGTTCTCCTGAGCCGGTGGAGACACCTCCCAGGGCAAAGTCCCACCTGTGCTCGGCATCCCCATCGGCTCGAGCAGCCTTTCAGCAGTGCAAGTTGCAATTTGGGAGCTGCCAGCACAGAGGCCACCCTCCCAAGGGCCCCGCTGGGCTGTCCCGAGCTAGGAGGCAGCACAAGCCTCGCTGGCAGGCGGCCCTGTTTCAGTGCTTGGGTTGTGCCTGCTCCGGCAATAGCTACAATTCGTTAAGAGAAAAGAAGGAAAAGATCTTGGTCTTGTAATTTCATTGTTGCCTTTTCCCCATCTAAACAGCCCCTTCTAATGGGATCCCAGTGTGCTTTCTGCCTGAACACTGATGAAGGAGCTGCACAGACATGAGGCCCCCGGATCTTTGCCTTCCACTAACCAAATCCTCCCGTCTCAGCTTTCACAAACAACTGGCTGCTCAGCCCAAGCTGCAGCCCTAGGCGAGCAAGCTGATCACCAGAGGCAGAGATAAACCAGCCTCTCTTACCTCCACCATGTGTCTTGAAAACACCCTGTTGCCTGAACTGGATCTTTATTGCAAGAAAAGTAACATTTGCCAGCTAACAACACTAACACTCGATAAAACCTTCTCCCCAACCTCAAGGACCATCTGTCAGGTTCTTTCCTGGAAAGAGCAAACAGCCTCTTTTTTAAGGCACAGAGTTGCTCCGAGATCCCTGTTTCCCAAATCTAACACTGGTACCTGTGGGAGCGCCCAGCAGAGCTCAGGCATCGAGAGCAAGGTCAGGGAGAGCGGATCCTCCTGCAGGAGCCACGTACCAAAACCTTCACGTGGAGAAGCTCCGCAGGACGCAGGCCGTGTCTTTTGGAGAGCTGTGGGATGATCACAGGTGAGGGAAAACGGTGGCACCTACAAAGGACTTGCCTTACCCCGAGGCACGGTGGCACCAGCCATGCGGCTGCGCAAAGGCAACCCGGTTACACCGGCCTCAGCAGCCAGAGATGCTTCAATTTGGAAAGGCTTTTTTGTTTGTATAGGTTTGTTTTTATTTATTTTAAAGATGGTGGTTTGGCTGGAAATGCATCTTCACTCTTGACACAACAAGACACACGCTAGGCAACATGTGGATTATTAGAGAACAACCCAACAAGTGGCATTCTGCACCAGAACTGCCACAATGGCACAGCTGAGCAGAGGTTAAGGCCAGGTTTTACCAGCTCAGGGGACAAATCCTGCTTTTACTGCAAGTAGAAATCACCTTTAAATCACACTTTAAACCCTCCAAGAAGCACATTTGAGTCGAACTAGCATCCTGATTGAAGGAGCCCAGCAGGAGGCTGAGGAGCACCAGGCTGGCTCAGCACCACCTGGATTCTCCCACTGGCCACCTGAGTCTTGGCAAAGCCACAAAAAAGGCAGCACAAACCGTTTCTCTGACATGACCATCAGAATCTGCTTTGCTCAAACATTCCAGCTCCCCGGAAGGTTTTGTTCTTTTGGCAGGCGCTCGGGATCCAAACAAAAGCTCACGTGGCTGGGAGCGGAGACGAACGGGAAGCAATGTTTTCCCTTGGAACACATCCTCCAGGGAAGCACAGCAGGCATGGGAATGACATCTAGCACAGGTCTGGGAAACGACCGCATACACCCACGCTAGCTACACGGGGCCTTCTCTTGGCTCAGGGCTGCACAGTTCTGAGGGACCAGCGAGCCGAACGCGAGAAGCTTCCGCACCACGTCCAGAGTGGGGAACCGCTGGCCAGGTTCCAGGGAGCAGGGAATCATCCCTCCCCTGCAGGGCTTTGGAGGGAAATCCCCCAGCACCCTGGGACACGAAGGGCAGGGCACACTCAGCAGCCCTGTCCCACGTCACCCCGGCAGCTCTGCTCGCTCACATTTCTAATCAGGCTTCTTGAGAGCTTGTGGAGTCAGAAGAGACCTAGACTGATTTGATACCCCAAAGAAAAAGTTTGTAAGTAATTTTCTCATCCACTGAGCATGATTACCCAGCATCTTTGGGAAGTTAACAGCATAAGACAAGACATAATGACTTTCTCCTGCCAGCTGTTTCCCTGGCAGTTATGAAGTGCTAAGGGAGAAGGTTTCAGCATGAAGGATGCTCTAGCCCCAGCTCTGGCTCCTGTGAGGAATCCAAGAGACCACCATCATGAAGCTTTTGCCATAAATGTCTTAAAAGCAGCTTGGTCTTGTCGATTTTGTTGTGACAGTACTGGGACACTGCACAGATTGAATCAGACCTTTAGAACTGGCTGCTAAGGCAATGAGGTGCTGCCTGCTGCAGTCCTAACCCAGGGCCAGGACCTTCAGCCCTCTCCTCATCCTCCTCTCTCCCCCATTCCAAATGAAGCAAGGGCAGGCCTGGATGCCTCCGAGCTGGGAAAACTCTACGAGTAAGGTGGAGGCTTGCAAAGTGCCCTGCTCTGCTTCAGCCTGTGGCTGCAAGGTGCTAGAGTGCCCGAAGGAAACAAGCTCAGAATGAAACTCAAGGTTCAAGTCTTGCTTCTAACCAAAGCAAGTGCTTGGAGCGCAGAGGTGCTGCAGAAATGAAAATCGTTCATAGCCATCAAAGCAGGGCAAGAGGAAGGGCTGAGGGGCTGAGCAGGACAGGCAGCAGCACCAGGAGCCACATTGAACCCGCAGGGATGTGCCCGTGCTAGGGATGGGGACCACTGTGTTATGGGCATACAGGGGGCTTGCAAGCTAAGGGCACAGGCCTAAGCTGCTCAGCCCCCAAAGAGGAGGTGGCCAATGCCAGGGCGCTGGAGGACACAGCAAGAGACACCGTCACTCACAGGGGACAGCTCTGCTGGCCTTGGTGCCCTCCTCGGTGGGGGCAGCCGGCTGTGTTCCCCTGTAGATGCAGGGCCGAGTCCTGCCCTCCCCGGAGCCTGGGGCCACCCATCTTCATGGTGGCACACAGAGCCCAAACGCAGCCTCTGCATGGGGTTCTCTCCTTGCTGTTTCATTTTCAGTTTAACTTCCCAGGGCCCAGGAGAAAGGACCAGCTGGCTACGTGGGCCTCAGAGGCATTAACTAAGCACAAAGCAGGAACCGCACAAGCGGCCACCTCAACACGTGGCCACTGCCAGCACGCAGGCATCGCGGCACGCAGGGACCCCCTCCATGGCACAGGGCAGGATCCCTGTGCCAGCTCTTCCTCTTGAGCCTCCAGCCAGCAGCAGGAACTAACTTCCAGCCCTACCTCCTTGGCTTTCCCCTACTGTACATCCACTCCTGCCTCTGGGAACATGTTTGCAGAGGGCCCAAAACTCACCTGAGTGAGGGGTTTTGGCCGGGTGCATCGGCTCGTGGTGAAAAGAGGTTTAAGGCAGCTTTCCCCCACAACAGCCTCCTCTCTCAGAAGCCTCCAGGCCGCCTGGCTGCATGCCTGGCAGCCCAGCTAACGCTTTAACACCTAACGCGTCCTCTCCAGGCAGCGAGCTCTCCAAGGAAGTTAGTTACTCAATGGACAGGCTGAACCTAACTCATTTGCACAGGACCATTAAATAAAATAATTCCGCCTCCTTAATCTCCTGCACACAAGCCGGATGCAGACCACGTCTCAGACCGTTCCCAGGAGCTGTGAGGCACTGCTCCGTGCTGCTGGGCTCCACTCCACACTCAGATCCACTCAGCTTTGCCCCATCCAAAACGTTTGCACGTGGAGATCACGGCAGCAAAGTTTTGACGCCAGCACCGGAGCACACAGGCACACCTGGTAGAAGAAAAGCTTAGGGAACAAATTCAAGTGAGTGTGGGGAGCACTGCCAAAACACTTAGCTGGGAAACAGCCACTGATTGCCTAGAAGTATTATTAGAAGCAGCAAGCGGTAGCAAGAAGGGCAGATTGATTGCATAAGGCCACTGCTCCTCTGACACTACATTATTTAATTATCCATCAAGTCCTTCAAGAGCAAAGCAATTGCTCAAAATAGGCAAAAAAAAAAAAAAAAAAAAAAAACACATGCACACCCCCCCGCCTCTTCTGTGCCCACACAAGGAAATACCTTTAAAAGAAAAAAGAGGGGTGAGAATCACACTTTTGCCCAACAATTGCTACCCCCCAGAATCACAACTCACCCACACATCAGGGAATGGGGTGCTTTGGAGCTTG